TACAGGATATGAGCAATTTTATTTTTTTAATAAATAAATAATTGTACAGTATGACTCAATTTATTCACATTTTAAGTCTTGAATCATATAAAAATAATACCTACAAAAATATATTCACACATTAAGACTATAAAAGTATATACTCTATATATATATATATAACTAATTTTTTATTCACTTTTCCTTCTAATTTTGAATAAATATATTTTAGTGAGATGGAAGACATTAATTCTTTCACTTTTTTATTATTCCCATTTTTTTACTTACCAAAATATGATGTTTTATCTATTTTTTTTTTTAATTTTTTATCTTTTTATTTTTTCATTATATCAAACAAAGCATTAGGCAAACAGGAATCAAAAACTTCATGTGGTGAATTGTGAGTTATGAATATTTCACATAGTTTGACAATATTATATGACGATAGAAAAAAAAATGGGTGGAGCTATTCCCTAACCACAATAATTCATACCTATCCTGTCACACTCTATTCCGGTCTCTCAAGGATGAAACGGGATTAGATTTTTAATACACCTGTTTACGTATATAATCTGGATTAATAAGACACTCCCACAAGTGCAACAATACCACCTATTACCTTAGCCATTAATCATGATGATAATACCTAACTCATAACCTGTGCTATATATAACACATGTACCATTTTTTTTCCAAGCCATATACATATACAAAATCCCACACTCACATAGCATACATCACAAAATATGTTTGTTGAGTCTGTTTGCAATTTTACACAATTAACTTGCTATAATAATCTCTTACTCAATATAATATACAACTAGTAAATAGTTATGCAGACACTCAACCTGTATCACTCAACTCATTTAAACATAAGTAATAGACATATAACCTGAGTAATATCACACTAACTTTGCTGGACCACTCTAGACTAAACTCAACTCCATGAGACAGTACTCAACCTATTGGATAGTGGACTAATTTGCAAACTCTCTCTATAGTACCTACAAACAAAGAAACTATAAGGGTGTGAGCTAAACCATATGTTCAGTGAGTATACATATTGCATATGAAATGAAAATGATAGTAATACACAGAAGTAAGTAGATATTACGTAGATACATGTATCGAACAGCAACAACATCAATCTAATTTCAAAGAATTCACAAGCCACAACACATCCATATTATCCCTCATTGGATAGTCGATCCCACATGGATTCGTGTCTCTCGAACCTCTCGGGAACACCACAGTGCTAGCACACTACTGCACGCCCAGTGATCAGGCATCGACGCTCCTCTCTCAGACAGTGTGCCACATTCCACAATACACAATACACAGTACAAAACATCATTCAATCACATAAGCACGTAGCATATAATCCTGGAGAATTGTTATTAAATTATATCATTTTATAATAGTATTTTCAAAACATATAAAGATACATACCCACCTTAAGTGTGCAGATTTACGGGCCTTCGGACCTATCGGTGGATCCTTTCGGTGTTACCGTATCTGTTTCTACACCGACTGCCCTACCTATTCCATCTAACACATTTATAATTAAAATATCAATATGTTTATCACATTTAATAGTTAATCATGCACTAATGCATGCAAGATAATTCAACCCAAAGTACCCCGTTAACCCTAGTCATTGCACTGTCCAATCATACACTGGCACATTAGATTTAAAACAGCTATAGTTAAAACTACACACACATTTGATCATGTAGAACAACCCCTTAATTGAACTCTTAAACCCTCCACTTAATGTCCACAAATCTTGATTTCAACCTAGCCCACTAGAAGCATCTCGAGCATCTCAAATGTTCGTTTTTTACACTTTTCTCACACCTGGTTGAATACCTACTTGAAACCCCTTCTTAACAACCCTTTAATTATGTTTAACACACTTCATTAGACTCACACAAAGTCTCTTTTGAAATCTAAATAAAACAGCATACACACACACATGCTTAAAATTAATCACACACACTAATATGAACACACACACCCCCTTATACATTTCTCTTGTTGTCTTCTTCTTTCCCCGCCTTCTTCTTGCCCTTTCTCACTCTCAGTTTGGCATGGAGGTTTCCCCCAAGTTCCTCTTTTTTTCTTCTTTATTCTCCCTCTTGATTTGAACTAGAAGCACCACCAAAAGCTTGGTTTCTCTCTCACTCTCTCCCTCCTTGCTCACAGCTCAAGAAGACACACACATATATATTTTCTTCTTTCTCTTACTCTCCCTCACTCACGATTTTAGGGGAGAAAGAACACACACATACTAAATCATGTTTTAAACACACACTCCACACCTTAGAAAATACAAACACACGACACACACATCCATTTATCATTCTAATTGACTCACCCACTTCATATTTCGACATGTGTAAGGATAACTCATTCCAATTTGATAATTACGCTTGCCTTCCCCCAAGTTCTTAAGTGATTTTGAAATCGATCCACTACTATTTTCACACATGCAATTTCTATAAATGGATCTCACTAATACATTACTTACGGAGTCCACATACCTGATGTATGTTCACACACATCATGGTTATGAAAGGTTTATTTTAATTAATCCCTTAATAGTTTCACATAATTATAATTTTGCCTACATAATTATGCTAATATGTATGTAATGTATGATCGGGTCTCACATACCCCATTAAATAGTCTACTATGAACTTACTAAGGACACCTTATTCTATATTCACTCCATTCATCACTAACTAGACCCCATTTATATCCATGTCTTCTTCCTCCTATTGCCCAAAGATTAGTTTTATACTATTCTATTCATGTTTTGTGTCTTCACAGGGTTGTGGAGCTTTCATGTATTAGTTTGCCCGCCCAATTTACACTATGCCTTTTTGCATGTAGTAGTGTCTCTTTCTCTGTGTGTTGTGTATTACAAATTAGAATACTAATCTCCTTTTACTCTTCTCTTGATTCTTCTATCCATGGTTGCAGTTGAAGAACTCTTGCTTAAATTTCAGGTTGAACTCGATTTTTTAAAGTCGGGTCAAGTCTATTCAAGTATTGTGAAATTTAATTCAGATTGAAATTTTTTTTCCGAGTCCAACCTAAATATTAAAAAAATCAGATTGGGTTGTAGTTGGTCTCGAATTAGTTCACCCAGATTGCACAAAAGAGATAGGCATCTAATAGAATGTATTTAGTTATAAATGAGATGAATATAAAATTGGGTGGACTCTGGACAAAATTTGAGAGTTTTTTATTTAGTTTTACAAGTGTAGGTGGTAAACAAATGTACGTGCCTTGACTAAATTATCAAATTAGCCCTTAAGGTATAACCACTATACCAATTAACTATATTAATCAACAAACTATATTAAAATACGATACAAACTCACTAAATACGCTTTGATACAATGTGTACTAGACTTAAAACAAATTCAATTATAAATAAATTTAAGTTGACTTAAATAAAATTTGACAAAAAATAAATTAAATATAACGATAGTTTTAAAACTCATCCCGGACATCAACCTGGTAGAGGGACCGGGTCAATGAATCACTGGTTCAACCATTGGGTCACTGGTCAAACCGGTCATATAATAAAAAAATAAATAATAATTATAAATAATAATAAATAGGCTAAAAACACACAATAATTATGATAATAATAGCAAACATGTAAAGTTAAGTAGAGAAAAATCATCAAACATGTATCCAATGCATTTAATTTCTAATACAATTTGTAAATCTAAAGGTAAGAAGTAAAAAAATACCTCTATTTTTACTTCAAAACTCCAAGTCCCGGTCTTCAACTATGCATCAATCATTCAATCCAAGTATAATCCATATAATTTGCACTCTTCGAAGCATAAATTAAGATTCATAAGGCAATAAATTCAACATCATCTCATTTCACAGCATAAAAAACAACCAAATATTTAAAATCAATTTCAAGCCTAAAAATTTCTAGTATCAATAATATCCTAATAATATTGTAACCTACAAAAAAAAAATGTAACCCACAAACTAAGAGACCAATGTTTTGAAGCTTAATATCACAGTGAGCATACTCATTCATGTGAATATAGTGAAGTCCTCTTAGTAATGACTTCGTGTATTGTTGGATGTTTGATTCCGATACTCGATGTTCACCGGAATTTTTAAGCTCATCAACTAAAGACCCTCCAAATCTAGAAGCATACTCCAACAAGATATTGTACAATTTCATCAGCTAAAAACCCTCCAATACCTTCTTTTCGTTCATTAACAAAACAGAGTGCGAAGCATCACAAGATTTCACGGCCATTAATGGAGGAAATTGTGGGCTCTGGCTTCTAGGTATTGCAAGATTGACTATCCCAAAGCTTCCATGGCAGATTGTTTCACCACGTACCCACTCCATGGGTATGCTTTGAAACAGTGAAGGTGAAGGAACAATTAGGGCAGTGAAGTTGTGAACAATCAGCCATGGAAGCTTAGGACACTGAAGAAAGAGTGAAGGTGCATGTGTGTGTGTGTGAGAGAGAGAATGGGGAAGGAACGATTAGGGCAGTAAGACAAAAATGCTAAATAGTGAAGGTTTGAGTAACTCGGCCGATTTAATGATTTTTATCGATTTTTTTTCGGGTCACCGGATTTTCTCCGATTTTGGTGCGTAAACGATCCAATAGGTGAACCAGTCCGGTTTAGACACTGGGTCACCATGTCAACCCGCCGGGTTTTAAAACACTGAATATAACACTACCTTTACACAACCCATCAGAGTTGTAGTCCAAGTGTGTGTTTGCTGCTTAGTGTCTACTCCGAACCTTGGGTAGATTTTGAATTTCATCTTTAATCACTGATTAAAAAAATCATAAATTATAAAAAAAATCATAAAATAAAAAGAAATTCAAAAAATCCTTTTCTTTCTTGGGTAGATTTTAGTACCGTAACGGGACCCACTGCCTTGCCTTCTTTCGTCCATCCAGGAGGCAGCGAAAGAAAAAAAAAATGTCTATGGCCAGTAACATAAATATGTTTCCCTAACAGGATATTAACGTTAATTTCGCAGGTGCGCCGTTGTTACTACTAAATCTTATATTCTCTTTCAGTTCCCCGTATCAATTTTTATGCCGATTTCTCCAGAGTCAGACACCATCGTTACCTTCCGCTCTCCTCGAATTCCCAAAACTGATTGAGCCCCTTTCGCAAACACTCCCCCATCGATTTCTCATCCCAGACTTAAAAGGTACGATCTTGGAATTTATATTTTATTCTCTCGCCTTCTAGGGTTCTTTGCACTAAATTTTGCTTATGCTAATTTAATATCAATTTAAATCCTTGATTTCTTGGGGGTTCTGTCATTAACCATATTTAATTTTTCTGGGTTTTGTAGGACTGTTACAAAAGTTGTGTGTATGCGGTGGGTGGGTTTGGAGAACTGAGTGGGTTGCCTTTCAAAGACTACGAATTTTAGAGAGTGAGGTTTTGAACGTTAGGGCTTTCCATTTTTATGGAGGGTTTATTGTATATAGTTTACGTTAATCTGTTGTTAATTTTGACTTCACAAGACATTCTGACTCAATGTTGGTCCCAAACAAAGGATCATGCTTTTTGTATCTGAAGCTTTTATGTTACCATCTGGCAGTCTCCTATATCTTTTCTCATATTAGCTTGTACTGGGTCTTTTCCATCTCGTGAATTCGACTTTGAGTTTAAAACGTTGGATTTCGAATGCTATGGCTTCTTATCGTACACAGTTTCTAATGTTTGTTGCTTGTGCTGATATAGTGACTTGACTTTTATTGCAAGCTGGGCAGTTACTGATTTTTACCCACGTGCAAATTCATTGCTTTTCCTCTGAAGAATTCCAATTGTTTTTTTTTTCTCTTTTCGATTTTAGTTAGGTTATGGCTGGAAAGAAAGTGATAGTTATTTGTCAGTCAAGTGGTGAATTTGAAACCGATGAGGATGGTTTACTGTCATACAAAGGTGGGGATGCTCATGCTATGGAAATTGATGATCAAATGACTTATATTGATTTCAAGATGGAGGTAGCAGAGATGTTTAACTGCAATCCCAGTACCATGTCTACCAAATATTTCCTTCCTGGAAATAAGAAGACTCTTATCACAATCTCCAATGACAAAGATCTTAAGCGCATGATCAAATTCCATGGTGACTCCAGTACCACCGATATATATGTTATGACAGAGGAAGTAGTTGTGGCTGATGTCTCAAACATGCCTGCCAGTAGGTAGTTCTCTTGCTGGCTGATAATATGTTTTTGATTGTATTGGGATAGACCATTTGGAAGTATTTGATCTTTGCAGGTCAAGTAGGACGACTTTGTCAGAAGCAGGGATTCTAGTTGATGCTCCTCCGAGTGTTGCGGACGATGTTGTGGATGACACCACCCAACCTGATCTCCTGCTTGATGCCACTTTTGATGTTATTGATGACACAACCCACGTTGATGCCCAAATTGATATACCCCCTGAAATGCCTTGCCTGCTATCTTTTGTTGGTTCCAATGATGAAAAACATGTTAAAGCTGCACAGCTATGGCAGAACAATATTACAGGTGTGGGCCAAAGGTTCAATAGCGTACATGAATTTCGTGAGGCATTGCGTAAATATGCCATTGCACATCAGTTTGCTTTTAGGTATAAGAAGAATGATAGTCATCGTGTGACTGTTAAATGCAAAGCGGATGGTTGTCCATGGAGAATTCATGCATCAAGGTTGTCAACCACCCAACTAATTTGTATCAAGAAAATGAATCCGGCTCATACATGTGAAGGGGCAGTTGTAACGACTGGGCATCAGGCCACAAGAAGTTGGGTGGCAGGTATCATCAAGGACAAATTGAAAGTTTTTCCAAACTACAAGCCAAAGGATATTGTCAATGACATCAAACAGGAATATGGAATCCAGCTAAACTACTTTCAGGCCTGGCGTGGGAAAGAGATTGCTAAGGAGCAGCTTCAGGGCTCATATAAAGAGGCCTATAGTCAGTTACCTGTTTTCTGTGAGAAGATAATGGAAACAAATCCTGGTAGTCTTTCTACTTTCACCACAAAAGACGACTGCAGCTTTCATCGCCTTTTTGTATCATTCCATGCCTCATTGTATGGCTTCCAACAAGGTTGTCGGCCTCTGCTTTTCCTTGATGGCATACCCTTAAAATCAAAATACCAAGGGATACTGTTGACTGCGACAGCTGCCGATGGGGATGATGGTGTTTTTCCGGTCGCTTTTGCTGTAGTAGATACAGAATCTGCTGATAATTGGCGTTGGTTTTTACTACAACTTAAAACTGCATTATCAACATGTCGCTGTATAACTTTCGTGGCAGATAGAGAGAAGGGACTAAGAGAGTCAATTGTTGACATATTTCAGAACGAGGATGTGTATCATGGCTACTGTTTGCGCTACCTTTCAGAGCAACTTATACGAGATTTGAAGGGGCAGTTCTCTCACGAAGTGAAGCGTCTTATGGTTGAGGATTTCTATGCTGCAGCTTATGCATCTAGGCCTGAAGGCTTCCAAAGGTGTGTTGAAAGCATCAAAAGTATTTCATTGGAAGCTTACAACTGGGTCATGCAAAGTGAGCCTGTTCATTGGGCAAATTCTTTCTTCCAGGGTGCAAGATATAACCATATGATGTCGAATTTCGGTGAGGTGTTTTATAGTTGGGCAGCGGATGCACATGAATTACCAATAACCCAGATGGTTGATGCAATACGGGGTAAGATCATGGAGTTGATTTATACTCGGCGGGCAGATTCCAATCAATGGCTGAGAAGGCTAACTCCTATGACGGAGGAAAAACTAGAAAAGGAACGCCTGAAAGTCCGTCCTCTTCAAGTGTTAATCTCAACTGGTAACAGATTTGAGGTACGTGGTGACTCCAATGAAGTGGTTGATGTGGATCACTGTGATTGTAGTTGCAAAGGTTGGCAGCTGACTGGTTTGCCTTGTTGCCATGCCATTGCCGTCATTGGTTGCCTTGGCCGCAATCCATATGATTATTGTGCTAGATACTTCACAGCTGATAGCTACAGATTAACTTATACAGAGTCGGTACATCCTGTTCCAAATGTAGATATGCCTGAGCAGGATTCTTCTCAGGGTGCAGTGACTGTAACCCCGCCTCCAACTCGTCGTCCGCCGGGCCGGCCTACTACTAAGAAAATTGGATCTCAAGAGATAGTGAAACGTCAACTCCAATGCAGTAAATGCAAGGGTACGGGGCACAACAAATCAACTTGCAAAGAGCTTTTGTCGGGGTGCTAGAATGTGTAAGTACATACTTACGGTGTTTTTCCGCTGTATTTTCAACTGTGTACTGTTATGATGCCCCCAGTGGGGTCCCACTACTCATTTTTGTGGACGATGTAGTCTATAGATGTGGATAACAAAAAATTTGATTAAATTTAGGTCATCTCCAACAATGTCTCAAAACTTTTATTTGTAAGTAAACTGTTTTAGCTCATTTTTCGGAAAGAAATTACTTTTATTATTTTGTTACGTTTTAAAAAGTAACTATTTTAGCCCAAACGAAGATATGTTTAGCTATCAAAAAATGAGAGTTAAAAGAAGCTGTTACCTTGTGGCACTTGAGCTTTTCATGCTTCTATGGGCCTAGATCTGATGATTCTTACCTGCAAATTTCGCCTAGCACAAAAGCAAATCATAAGTAGTACCTGCTATCAACTACAGCATGTGGCAGCTCAATCTTCTGAGAGAGTCAGACAAACTACTCAAGATTTGCAATTGGCCTTGAATGTACCCTGTGCACACATACCCTGAAATGATATAATATTTCATTTTCTACTTAGCACTGTAGCTGATTTAGTTTTTTGGGAGGGGTTTGTGTAGTAATGGAAGACCTTAAGAGTCATGGATATAACATCTATCAAGTGAGACTCAAGTTAAGTTTCACTTGAGTTTGCAAGCATGGGATGCGGGAACACTTGTTTGAACCACGACTGCAATTCAGGTGTGATTTGCAAACACGTGTCAGGCGCCAAACTTGATTTGAGGCATCAGTTTTTGGTTCTTAATCTCTGGGTTTTGTCTATAGACAGGCCAATATTGTGAGTAGTGCATCAGACTTTGACGTTGAACTAAAATTGAGACACGGAGTTGAAAATGTTTTTCTACTTCTTCTGCATCAATAGGTATCACGACAAATTTCTCCTTTTGGTCCTGTGTCAATGGGTGTTAGACTTAGAGCCCAACTTCGACCAATGGCCAGTGCTTCTTGTTGTCCTCACTGTTAGGGCCAAACCACATTCCAAGATCACTGTCACTGTCGAGCACTATCTTCACCGATGACTTCCTGGAACCGACCACTGTTACCACCCTTCATCATTGATGAGGTAGGAGACAAGTAGTAAACCTGTCGACTTCCCGTTGATTCAGAAAGTTGATCTAGTGGTGGTGAGAGAAGGGAGAACAGGGCAAAAAAGAAAAGAAGAGACACAGTGGTCCTTCTGTAATTTGTCTTTGTTCTAGGATGTAACATGATTAGAAAGATACTTGGTTTTAGTCTCTATCACTATGACAGGAGTTGAGAAGAGAAATGATATGTCTCTCATAGTTGTCTTTCATAGTCTGGAGGAATGAAACTCAGATGACAACTTGATGGCCACTTGGAACTGAAAAAGACCGAGGCTTCAAGGTCTTGGCGAAACCCTAGGACTATAGGTCCAATTTCTTCTTGTGCACTGGTCATTCTCACATTCTCTACCAAGCATTTACTCAATTTCTGTAGTGCTCTTATTTTGTTTTATTTTCGATTCTTGTGTCATTATGATCATATAGTCTTTCTAATGTTCGATGGGATTAATTTATTGAGTTATCGGAAATGTTGAACACATAAAAAAAAAAAAAAAAATTCAGTTTCATATTATATTTGATCTTTTTGCATAGATGGTTGGTTGCTCACTGGTTTTGTTATCGAGCTTTATCAAGTTTCAATCCAACGTGGTGATGTTAGTAGACTAATAAATCTGGTCTTCCTTTTTCAGGGTTGCATCAATGGACAAATAGGCTTATGGCTCTTGGTGTTACTTAAATGGAAGCTTTTTCGCTTATTTATTTGTTTTTTCAATTTGTATTTCTAACATCAAAGTCTAATTAGTTTGACCCATGTATTATTATCAAGGGGAGAGATGTTGGTCATTTAACAGCCTTGCTGTTCGAAGATGGCTCCGTTTGCTATTGTAGATGTCAAGTATCCATAGACCCTTTTAAGATGTGCCCCTGATGATGATAGGTGTGCCCCTCCCCTGATGAGTAATGAAATGATTTGCCTACCCAAATGTTTATCATTTATTGTTTACTAAATGAACGTGGATAATGAAATCAGTGAATCTCATTGAAAAAAGTTCATGACCCATGTTAGTTTGGTAAAAAAAAATTGGTCAAGTGTAGTATTGTTTTAAATGGATAGTACTCTTTTAAGGGTTTTGGCCTCTTTTTAAGCAAGAGGTATTAGGTTTGATATTTTTTACGCTCCTTGAGGGTCAATCAATCTTATTCTTTATGGAACACGTTCTTAAATTAGTTAGTTTGAAATACGATGACCATCTCAGAATTTTATAGAATAGTTGGGATAAGTCTAACCAAAATAAATTAGATAGTACTCTCCTCTGTTGTAATTGTACAGGAATCTTTGAACCCACCCATCCAGCCCCTTTTATTTTCCTTCAACCTTGCTATGATTCCAATCCCTATTTTGGATTCATAAAGAATTCATTGGCGTATATGTTTTTCCTTTGGCTTCTTTTATAACAAATTATTCCTACCTCACCAAATTTAGAGACTTTTTTTTGGGGGTAAATACCAATTTTAGAGAGATGATTTTTAAGAGTAGATCTATATTTGTCTTTTAATCATTGATTGGGACCTGTAAAAGTCAGCCTATGTGGAGTACGTTTGATAGTTGGATAGTACAGTATTACACCAAACAAACTAACATTTATAGTAGTACTAGCACTTGTACTATGACAAACAACTTCTATCTCTCCCTACCACTTTATATGCTCACCATTTTACCAACACATACGTAGGCCTCAATGTTCCAACTTGGGCATTTAATTTTTTTTTGTTTTTTCTCGTCTACAAGTTACGTTTATAATTGCTTTGCGACAATTTGGCAAAGGGATTACTGGATATTTATCGGCCTATAAGGTGACATATATGAGAGAGGCAGAAAGGGACGAGGCAGAGCATGAAATGGCGAATGAGGTGATACAATATGTCGCCGCCCTTTCCATGCACTGCCTCTTCCCTGGCTCTCTCTCTCTCTCTCTCTCTCTCAATTTGTCCAAATACTTCTTTTTTTTTTTGATAAAAGATGAAAGAATAGTTCATTCTATCCTCATCACGCAATTGCTTACAAGTCTATTTTCATGTATATATAGAAGATGGAAACATAGTATGGGCTTCATTCCATTGATTTAGAGATCTGTGTCCCTTTGGCTTGATGCAATTCATTCTGGACATGTACTCTAAGCTTGTTGAGTTGTACCTATTGAGTAATTGCTCCTTGATTACTAACCACCCAACAGGAACAGGGTGGGAGTGAAATAGGAAAAGACCAGACTGACAAAAACTATTCCTTTGCTCTTAACAAGGGGTTATTTTTTTTGGTCTCAATTACTTATTTTAGTTTGGACAACACCAACATTCTGTGTGGTTGTGGAGTTTTTCCTTTGGAGATAGAAGAATGCTGTGTGTTGGTATTTGAGTTGGGTTAGAATCCGATCCATAACCCACGGGCCTTGAAATGGGCAATTGGATTGACCATGGAGTTTGAATTCATGTACTGTACAGATTGGATTCAAACTCTCACCTCGATAAAAGGAAATCCAATTGCTTATGAGAGAGAGAGAGTTCTCTAGGTTTATCATATTTGTCTCTTCAATTTTGATCAGGAAGAACAAGGAGGACCAGTTTGGTAGCCACTCTATGGAGCGAGTTCCTTTTCTGAGACTCACAACACAAGTACAAGATCCGTTACTATAATTTGAGTTTGTAATTTAGGTAACTCGAATACTTGTATTTGTTGTATGTGATCTGTAATTTTCGACACTACAGGTGAAAGGATTCTCCTTGCTTTCGAAATTCGGATAATCAACTTGGTGGAACAAATGGAAAAGATGCAATTGCCCAAGGTTAAATCGATCAAGTCCTGCTGCTTGGGAGATGCAGGTGCTCACAAGACAACCGTGCTCTAGGTTAGGCTGACTTAGTCATGGCCTGTGTCCTTTTTCCTTTCCAAAGGGCTTTCATAAGATTTTTTGTCCATAGATGTCAAGTTTGGCTGACACACCATTGAGTCACTTCTTCAATTTCCAAGACACAAACATGCAAGTTTGTGGATAAGGTTGCAGGATTTATTGTTTAGCTAACATCATTTTATTGTAATTTGAACATCAAATATTTGAATTATCAAAATAATTTATTGTCGATAAATAGTATAGAGATCCTGATTATTTAAAAGAAAATTGATGGATCCTCTAATTTAGAGCAGAAAAGCGCACACAAAAAAAAAAAAATCAAAAACCAAGGAGATGACGTCGTTTTGCAAAATTCTCATTAGTTACACTTAGAAGTGTTCAAATTTTCGATTGACCGTAATTTCCTACTCTGTCCGACCCTACTGAACGGTTAGCCGCAAAAAATCGGGTAAGAATGTAGAAGAGTTTTTGGTCTTCCGATTAAATCGAGTAGGAATGCGGAATACCCATCAATTTTTGCATTCCTACCCTACCCTACCCTACCCTCAAAAATTATATTTAACTTTTTTATAATTTTTTAGTAATTATAAGAGTATTTGTGTGGTATAATTTGTATTATAACATTGTTATTGTTGTGGATATTTGAGTTGCTAAAACATTGACTTATTTTTTATGTAAGTTACATTAGTTGTGGTGAATTGGTGATCTATTTGAGCAGTTATAATTTTAATGTGTTTCATATGGTTTAAACTTAAAATAATTGTTATTGTATTAATATAACAATTATAATAGATTGATGTTCATACTCTCTTGTGTTTTACTGTAATTGTTGTTGTAGTTGTTTTAGGTTTTTAGTGTTATTGATTTATAGTGTTGTTAAATTGATGCATGTTATTTAACTGAATTGTTAAAATGATCCAAAAATTCATAGCTACAAAAGTGTTTATCCGACTTCCTACCTGATTACCACACCTGATCGAGTAGGGTAGGTCAAGAAATTTTTTTTTTGCAAAATATCGAGTAGGAAGACGAAAGACTATATTTCCTACCCGTATAGTAGGGTGAACACCCCTAGTAACAGTCCAGCTTCCGGCACGACTACGCGTAGGGTGAACACCCCCACTAACACTCCAGCTTCCGGCACGACACCTTTTCTATTGCTCTAACGTGTTAAAAAGCTAAAAGAAAAAAACAACACAAGACCTTTTCTATCGGTGAATAGGTGTATAATCTCCAGGGAACCACCTCCAGCTCTTCTACTTTGGCATCCAAGTAGGGCGGAACCAGACTTCAACTCTAGTGGGGGCAACTTTCAGTATATGAATGCTCAAATTCGGAGTGTTAATACTATTTTATAAAAAGATAGTTTCATCGAAATAACATATACAAGTAATATACAAAAAGAGTTGACCAAAAAAGTTCACCATAAAATTGTATCAAACAATTACTTTTGCATCAAAAAAATAGTGTCCTTTAATGAATTGATTCAATACATAAAAAAAATCCAAATTCTTGAAAATTTCATAATTGTTTCAATAAATTTTCACAAATGGCATTTGAAAATTCTTTCTCAACATATGCAGACAAGTAATTATTCATTCATTGATCTCTCGACTTTTTACTATGTCCCTTATTGAGAAGTATTTATCAAAAATAATTCATTATTTAATCTCAATCAATCAAATTAGTTTAGGAAATCAAACAATTTTCAACATAAATACAAGTCTAGTAAATCAAACTTAGACACATAAACAACCTAATTTCTCACAATCAGATTTCTCAAGCCCATCGAACCAAATGGTTTAATCCAAAAAATAGTCCGTAACATGTAAATTCTAAATATAACAATCTCACTAAATTTAACAACTTGCAATTCTCTCTCTCTCTCTCTCTCTCTCTCTCTCTCTCTCTCTCTCTCTCTCTCTCTCTGTATATATATATATATAGGGAGACCAAATCTGAAATTGTAGGAGTGAAATTCTTAGAATTACTGTGATTTCTGAAAAGTAAAAGTAGAACTACTTTTTGGTGTTGCTAAAGACTAAAGAACCCCACATGTTTGAGAAAATACATGACTAGTCTTGAGTATAAAATATTTTCAATGGGGGCAACTTCTAACATATTTTAAAATTTCAAACATTTTACCTTACTCCCCAAATATTTTTAAAATTCTAGTAGGGGCAACTTTTAACATATTCTAAAATTTCACCTAACTCCTCAAATACTTTTAAAATTCCAGGAGAGGCAGCTGCCCCCAGTTTAAATCCGCCTTTGAGGAGGAATTGGAGGGTGCGAGTGCATGTTTAAAATTGTTATATGATGGTATATTGGAGAAGTCTAACGAAATGAAATTCCACATTGCTGATTACAGAGGTATGGTGGAGGAACTTTCACAAGCTAGGAGGGAAACCATGCACAAGGATGTTTAGGAATTACTTACAATGCTTGGAGATGACTTTCAACTATACATGAATGTAATCTGAGAAGTTCTTGTTGTTTGAGATGTAATGTTCATTTCAACGATACACCTGGAAGATGGGTTTATACTTAGGCATCCCAATTTTTGTTTGATATTTTATCATAGGTCAATGTTTAACAGGATATTAACAGATATTTTCTTTCATCAAATAGTTGTCAATAAGTACACATTTGAAAATATTTTCAAATTCTTTCTAAAATATATTTCATAATTACCCTTACCATAAATAATGCATACCTACTTGAATGTGAGACTTTCAAGATTCTTTTTGATATTTGTGTATCATTTGAATTTTGAAATTTCATATATATATATATATATATATATACACACACACATACACACACATATATATATATGCACACACACGTAATACAATGTCATCAAATAGTGACACGCTCAACAAAAAAAGAATAATATCAAACAGTGACACGCTCAACAAAAATATTTATGTTACTGTTTGATGTTACTATTTTTTTGTTGAGTGTATTACTGTTTGATGTTACTATTTTTTTGTAGAGTGTGTTACTGTTTGATGTTACTTTTTTTTTTGAGTGTGTCACTGTTTGATGTCACTGTATTACGTACGTATGTGTGTGTGTGTGTATATATGAAAT